CATTATCACGTAGTGAACGAGACAAAATTGACCGGAATTTGAATTCAGCTGGACGATTAGAATTTCCGTGCCAATAACCGTTGCACTACCCGCACATCTGAAACGTTATTGACACGATACAAGTAAACAATGTGAAACGCATGACAGATGTGTCAATTCACTGTATGCATATATAGGCGAATGCATACGAAGACCTATACGTCATTTGAAATGGAAATGCATCCCGTCATGGTCGACTATATCTCTCGCTTTCTGTACATATATATATATATATATATATATATATATATATATATATATATATATATGGACCGAACGTTCGCTTTCTGAGCATGAGACGTATTGATTTGATATCTTGAGGTTATTGGTCTGGGGAGGCGATCCCAGCGTGCAGCATCTTTGGAAAGTGCCTGAAAACCATACCACGAGTTGACCCAAGCCTTGTCGGTGAAATTGAGTAGGCGGAATACTTAGGAACCGTCAGTGGTTGTGCTAGCACGAAGTGACACGTCATTCTAACAGAGAGCGTGCTGGCCTTATCCAGACTGTTAATCACGCTAGATAATGCGCTCTCTCCCAGAAACTGTAACTAAGGTCAGCATTGTTGCAGTATAAATCTCAGGTGGACTCTGTGGATGTCGAAGAAAACAAATGTGCATATATGCATGACTCTCTCTCTCTCTATATATATATATATATATATATATATATATATATATATATATATATATATATATATATATATAGCCCACCTGAGGTTTATACTGCAATAATGCTGACCTTAGTTACAGTTTCTGGGAGAGAGCGCATTATCTCTCTCTCTCTATATATATATATAGAGAGAGAGAGATAGAGGGAGAGAGGCAGATATTGCCGATATGTCAGTAGAGCTTGACCGTTCCCGCGAATCAACTCTAATTTTTGGCCTTGTGTGATAGCAACGAACTGACAGTGAAACAAAATGGGGTTTGATGCGAAAGGGCATACGAAACACATGTTATCGAATTATTTTATACTGATTAAATTTCGCATTGATCGATTTTTACCGAAAATTTACCTGACCAAACATTGAATATGAGCACTGTTAAGTAGTTTTTTAAACATTAATCTGGGTTGAACGCCGTGTTCAGGAAAAAAATGTCGTGGGAGTAATAAATACAACCAATAAATAAAACAGTAATAAAGAATAAAAAAAAAATTGATTTTCCCATGATGCAAGTTATAACGAAACGGGAAAGGGTTTCTGGTTACATGCATGATTTTATGACCCCACTCCTAAAAGGAGGACAGTATCTTACTCTTTCTACTTTCCAACGAGATCGTTCGGACGTGTTTCAGTAGCCATCTCATCTCAGCGCGAGGCTGACTTGAGCTCGACCATCTTTGCTCTTTTACTCTTACTTCCCATAAATAATTTCTGAACCAAAAAGGAAAACGGTCAAACTCAAGAAATATTTAAATGTTTCAGTACATTCAACATAAAAGATATAAAGGTCTGTAGCAGAAAGTCAAGTTCTTCAGAGGGCTTCTATGTTCTTTGTTTATATATTGAACACCCATTTTCATATGAAACATAGAGAAAACACATAAACCTTGTTAACATGCACAATGTCTCTGCTTGTGCATATTTTTAACGTGCGCATCATGTAGGTCCGTGTCCATCGTTGGCAAAAACGCATGTTCAGCAGTAGAGATGATGTCAAAAACAGTGTTTAGCAGCTGAGGATCTGCTCTATCCAAACATATTTTTATTGCTTCCTTCATCTTTCGTAATTGCCGTTGAAACCAATACATTGCTTTCAGATCATCACTCGCATTTGTGTTTGTCCTGTAAGGTCCTCGTGTCTCTATTTGTCTACCTGCCTGTGTATCTATTTTAATAATCATTCATCAACATCAGAAATAAAAAAAGTATCCAATGAAAAAACGAACGAAATCAAATTCCTCTTCGAATATGGATAATTGTTTTAATGTAGTTATAATGTATTACCTCCCTTGATGCAGTTTTGAATGTTTTCCCGCCATATGTACGAGCATATACAAATGCATATGTGTCTCATTTCTAATAATATTGATAATAACGTGTATAGACCTCCATATACACTCACCTTGACATCCAGTGAAAATACACATTGCAAGTGTATATTCTGTCATTAGTTATTCAATTAAAATACTTTTCTAAGGAATATTGAATGAATATGACAATAAAGATGAGGACAACCGTCGAAAAATGTAAATAGTGTAAATAGTTCTAATACCTCATCTAAAATATAGACAAAATAAAGAAGCACGTAAATAAAAACCAGAAACGAGAAATATTTTAAAAATTAGTAATGCTTAGTTCGGCTGAAAATGGGACTAAAGAAACCGTATTTAGGAAAGCGGGCAAAAAGCAACGCCTATTCTGAAAACAAAAAATTAAAACGGAATTATATTTCTTCATCTTCGGCAACAAAAATCTCTGCTACACTACTACATTTTTTACAATGAATATTTTTATTATATTTTAATAATAATAATAATAATAATAATAATAATAATAATAATAATAATGACAAATAGGTAACTCGTTTTTATTAATATTTTTATTTCCAATATTTATCTTGTAAAATCATCATTTTCTGTGTAAACAGTAGATTATTAATATATCTATCAATATTACAATCACTATTATTTGTATCCCTATTCTCTATTTAATAGGTTCGTCTAACTGCCTATTTCTTCAATATACACTTTCTTTTCCCTCAGACTACATTCTCTCTCTCTCTCTCTCTCTCTCTCATATTTGTCCTCTCTGTTTCTCATGTACTATACTTTCCTTCTGCTTTATTTTTCTCTTTTCTCTTTCTTACCACAAGTGTTACCCTCATGTGCATGCACTGTAAAGTTCAGGAGATCCAGTCTGGTCAAGTGTGTGACAACCCCGTGGCTAATAATAATTTTAGCCAGTGTTTCAACTCGGCTGAGCACATCACGGAACCAGGATTGCCCTGATCATGTCATAAGTTGACCGTCATTGACTTTATGCTCTATTGCATTTGGTTCAGCTAAAAATAAAAGATAAAATAATAAAAGAACAACTTAAAATATCAGATGTACAAAAACATCAAGCGAGAAAGCATAAAAATAAAATAGTTCAGGACAAGATATCTTTATGGACTGAATGAAATATGTGACAGCCAAGCTGTTACTCGAAATACGTTCTGTACACATCGATCTTTCCTTTTTATATTAACTCTTGTCTCGATCATCGTAAAGCTTAAAAACGATAGCAAAATAACAAAATTTAAGAAAAGAAAAAATGAAGGAAATATTGATTCAGCCTAATTTTGATATGAAGAAAATAATCAATCGTTACTGTCATTAACGCAACAATAATCAAATACAAATGGTTCTAAAACTGCAGATGATTATAATATCAAGATGTAGCAATAATGTGAAATGTTTAATGTGAAATTGAGCTCTTCTAAAGGACGGCTATTTTCATGAGTATAAATCATTAAGTAAAATCTATAAAACTCAGTCAATACACAACTGCCATAATTTAGTGATAAAGTGTTAAGCGGAAACTTTTTAGTATGGTCCCTAATAGAGTTTCAGATGTTTAAAAAATCTTGTATCCAAGACAAAGTGATTTAAAATAGTTTTATCCAAATTGTCATAAATTTAGTATATTTTTTCAGTAATAATTTTCTTAAAGATATTGCTAAAAACAAGATATATTTTGTGTCCGTTAAATTTAATGATCTCTTTTCTAAGGTATAAATATCCCTTCTTCCTCTTCTGGAGGAGGGGTGTGAAAAGAAAATTGTTTTATGAAGTAGATGTTATAATGATTTACCAAGCGTAGCTCAGATGTGGCACGAGGCCGAAATTATGGGGCACCCAGTGAGGATCGAACTCACTACTCAGCAAGACAAGCTTTCTAACCATTACACCACGTCGAGGGGCCCTAAAAAGTAGATTTTATATTCATTCTTTAAAAGTGTTCTTAATTTTATAAAACTAAATTCAATGATGATTGGTGCAGCTAATCATGTGACACAAACTTGTAATACCTAGCTTGGAATAATATTTTATAAATGCCGTCAAGATTGCAAGGCTTTGACGGTTTCTGAAGAACAATTAGTCTTAATGAAAGGATTAAATTAGCTCCTTGTAAATACCAAAGATATAAAATTATTATGGACTATTCTGTTGCATCGTAAAACATTTGAGGGAAAATGAAAATAACACTGATATCTCACATTAACAGATATATTTACCAAAGTTACACGCAAATATCTTGAAATAAAAAAAAAGTAAATTAATTCAATAAAATCGCCATTGGTTTCAACGATGACAACCAGACGATTTCGGAATCTCCTGTATCTCTTCTGAACGGTCTCCTTGTTTAAGTTGGTGAATGCTGTCATAATCCTTGCCTTCAGTTCCTCTTTGGTGTTACAAGTAATTTTGTTGGTCTCTCGCTTAACTGCACCCCCCACATACCTAATAATTAAGATAGTTGCAGTCTGGAGAGTTAGGTGTACAGATGTAAGTGGTCATGTGGTCACAGAAATTGTCTGAAAGACATGACTGGGCACTCCTGCTTGTGTGGCATGGTGTAGAGTCCTGTTACCAGACTTAGGGTCTTCCAGCAGCCACCCTCTTGACCCAGAGCAGCACTACCTCCTCAAGTAATTGATTTAAGCCTCCGTGTTGAGTTTGAGTCTATCACTAGTAATAACTCCAAACTCCATGATGTTGACTGGATATATCATCCAATTCTTTCCGGATCCTCTGTATTGTCCGCAGAATAATACCCAAGTATTCGGAAATGTCAGTATTGGATCTTCTGGCGCCATTCCCAAATTTCTGGCAGAGTGAATTGTGTCATGTTGTTCTCTTTCTCACAAACGCTGCCCAATTGACTCTACTATACTGTGCGGTCGACAAAATCAAAATCAAACAACTCGCGAAATTAAAAATATAAAATGGTGGCAATTTACCAGTCGCACCTTGTATAGATAGATAGATAGATAGATAGATAGATAGATAGATAGATAGATAGATAGATAGACAGATAGATAGATAGATAGATAGATAGATAGATAGATAGATAGATTCAATGCTTGCCGGGAAGTTAAGAAAGGGAGTGAGCAAAATTATAATATCGTAATAATAAGAATTATTAGTAGTAGTAATCTGATTATTATTATTAACATTAGTATTATTATTGTTGTTGTTGCTGTCTTCTTTTGCATTCTGTTGAATACAATTCCTTATCAAGTCATTACCTGAGATCTAAGTTAATGCAATGTATTTACACAAATTCTGATAATCAGATATGATGTGGAAATTTCAATATAAACACATTGAAGAATAACAAAATAAGAATAACAAAATACTAAGCAACCCAGTATTAGGGTAGATGTGATAAAATTAATGTTAATTGTAGTAGTAGTAATAGTAGCAGCATTATTACTAGTAGTATTAGTACGTAACAAGTAAAAGAGAATAAATTGGAAATGAGAAAACGCAAAACTTATACAACTCTATTGCTTATGCATGGATGTTTGTTTGAATGCCTGTAAATTTGTGAATGCCCTTTGTTGTATTGTTTAAGTGGAGAAATCAGACTTAACAACAACAACTTTTGGAAAGAATGTTGATTAAAATTGTATCAATGTCAGATATTGTGTTTGAGACAAGAAGTCAGAAAAGACCGAAACGTGAGAGAAATGATAGAAAGAAGAATGACTCTAAAATATCCAGTAACAAACGGAACTTTGACAAAAGTTAAGAATGCAAGTAAGGTTAATGATTATTTGGTTGGCTGTCACAGACTTTAGGGAATTGGAATTAAACCAAGATTGGCTTGAAGTTTGCAATTAGACGAGAGGAAGTGGTTTGGCTTGTAGGAGAAGGTATCATTGGTCATAGTTCTATTAAACCTCTTTGACAGACGATAAGCACTCTGCCAAGACCACCACCACCACCACTATTATTATTGTTGTTGTTGTTGAGTGCTGGAGCAGCACGAAGAATTTGAAAGTTCAGTATGAATGTTCGAAGTTCGATAAATCAAGTCTAATAAGACACATGCAGCACAACCAAATATTCGCGATATGGTGACAGGTTTTGCGAAAATTAGCACATAAATACTGGGATCTCAGATATGTATTCACGTCAGGTAATCTAGTCTCTTCAAACAGTTCCCCATTGAGGGCGTTCCCCAAAATATCTAGATGTGACTAGCAAGTCGCCTTGTCGGCATCATGCTTCAAATTTAAAAATAAAGCAGCTATCTCAACACTTAGCCATAATGATCACCTATTACTTCCGCTCAGAAACAGAGAAGTTCAATATGTCGTCCGCTAGGAAATATGCCCATTTATTATTATTATTATTATTATTACTACTACTACTACTAGTAGTAGTAGTAGTAGTAGTAGAAGCAGTATTAGTAGTAGTCACACGGTGTAAATTTTTAATACACTAGATACATTAAGTTATCTGTCAAGCCACAAGGGACTCAGAGAAACAACACTTTTCCAAAAATACGTGCAGTGCCAAAATAACCGATTTTTGGAGGACATTAAATTGGTGTGGCTTCCTCAGCTGCTCAATGAAATCACACATTGTTAATGGGATCGATCTCAGTGCGCCAGTCACTACTGGAATCACCCTGACATTCCCTTCCTGCATTCCAGATAATCATGCCATCTAAACTTTCAAAGAAAAGCAGTTTTTAATTTTCTCAATTACCTTGTTTGTTTTATTTGTGACATTTTCTATGGAAACATCAATAATATGACAGTTCTTGTTCACTACATCTAGTACAATAATGTCCGGAAGTCACTGGTGTATAAATCTGTCTGTGAAAATCATAGTTCCAGAATATTTTGGGCTTTCCAATTACCATCATTATCAACATCATCATCAACAACACCAACAAAATATTATTATTATTATTATTATTATTATTATTATTATTAATAATAATAATAATAATAATAATTCTCCTCCTCATCCTTCTCTCCTTCGAATGATCTTTTCTGTTTCCGCGTCAACATGAAACCTGAAAGCAAACGTGCAAGATCCTTTGGAATTTCTGTTGATTTATGGAGAGGAAAAGACGGAAAAATATAAAGAGCTGTACAAAAGTAAATAACCGTACTTGCCATTCCATACATTTCCACAGATATTGATCTCGACAAACTGATTCTTCATTCCCTTGTAGATGTATGAAACACTTGTAAAAGCGTCTGTATTATGAAGGCATGAAACATAATATACGAGATTCTTGCTGTACAATGATACCGAATTTGATTCTGTCGAATACAGTGTGGTTAAAGGATGATTCCTAATATAGTAAAATGATGCATATGTACCGACAGCTTGCTGTCGTGTAAGTAATATCCCAGATATGTTGTCTAATGTGTGTGACTGAGGTGAGAAATAACGAGAAAACAGTGTTTCAAAACCAAGAAAAACATCCTGCGCATAAAAGCTCTGTCAGCACTGTATGTTGGAATATTTGGATTGTGTTATAAGATTTCAGGTAGAGATATTAAATGGTGGACAGATTTTTTTTGGTGGGAGGGGAATCTTTGTATTTGAGAAAGTCTGTGAATGTGCATTATTACATTATGCAAGTCATCGTTTTCACAATAAAATTGGCATTAACTAAAAGATGATGGTAAATTTCAAGGATATGTTGATATTATATGATAAATATACCATATGAATTTTACATTATAGCGTATGCTTTGATAAGACATATTTATAAACATTTTTTGGGATTCATCATGAAATTCAAGTACTATTGTAAATAAGAATACATATTGTTATAATTATTTATATTAATTCTTTTTAATTTTCTATATATAATATTTTATAAACTCAAAAGTGGAACAAGGTATTATAGTGTTATTGTGTAATGAGATTACAACTTGGGAATTTGACAAAAAAGCACATTAACAATGTGCAGCATATCAAACCAGTAAACTTAAATATATTAGAAAAATAAGAACAAGAAGAAATTCACTTTTAGGATGATACGAAAAGTGAAATATTAAATTTTGAAAATAATTAAATGGGCAACAAACAAGAATAATTAACTCCTACATAGAAAACTATTTTTAAAAAACTGTTTTTGTACAACTAAAAAAAGACGAAGAATATTATGACCACTGGCCAAGCAAAAAATTATCTTTAAATAAATATAACAAAAAGAAATGTGAAAATTGGATGAGGAAGAAAATGAAAACAGATTTGTCAACAGTAAGTTCTGTTTAATTTTATTTAAATTTAGTAAAATGTTTGATTGTTTCATTGATATACGCAACAAATATGATAGGAGAAATCTGAGAATGAGAGAGTTTTTGTTCTAGGTAAAAAATCACAGACAAGAAACTTTCGACTAAAGAGCATTTGCATGCAAGGCTCCTTCACATTTAGCAAAGGTAACGATTGCAGAAGATAACTAATATTTGCTATATAGTTTCAAAAAATTAAATGCCCTTAGGCTTCTTCAGATACTGATCCAATGGTAAAAAATGTTTTCCATCGTTCAAAGAGATGTATATGAAACTTGGAAATATTCAAGTAGTTAAAGCTGTAATCATTTGTGGAGAGAGTAAAAAGTTAGCAAAGCAATTGTTGAAAAACTGAAGTCCTGTGAAAACACCAATATTGATATCTGTTCATGTATGTGGGATATCTTGTTAAGTGAATATGTTTTCTTTGGCCCGTTTTGTTGAAGGATGTATAATAGTACCCGACAAAAGGTTCAGACAATGTGGAATATTTTAGTAAAGACGCGTTACGCCGGAAAAGTTTAAATGAAAGAAAGGCAAAACTGCGCGTGAGGAAAATGTCTTGGTATCTCTGAGCATAAGTGGCTATCATAAATCGATTTAATTACACTAACTTATCACCTTCTAATTTCCAGCCTTGTAGAGTGTATGTCTACCTGTGTGTTTGTTTAATGCATACCTGTATGAGAGCCGTTTATTATATAGGATTTTATATCATGGATTTTTTGTTGTATACATACAGATATATCTATATATATATATATATATATATATATATATATATAGGTAAACGCACGCACAGCGGTACACACACACACGCGCACACACAAACATACACACATATATATATATATATATATATATATATATATATATATATATAGTCGAGGAATCTAAATGAAATAATAATAAAAAAGCGAAAGAATATAAATCTACAACCCAGTGTGAAGATTTTAATTTTTAATATTATTTTATTGTTAAAAAAAATTATATATATATATATATATATATATATATATATATATATATATATATAAGTGTAACATACATGCACATCCACACAGTTATATACATATATTAGAGTCCTTCTTTTTTTGCATACTTGTGCAAACATCTACACATATGCATGCCGACTGATATATACTTGTGCACACACACACATACAAACACACACACGCATATGCATATCATTGAAGCTGTTTTATATGTATGCCTGTACAGACATATTCATACATACCAATATTTATGTATACCTGTAAACCTGTGTTTTCGATGTATTTCTCTTCTTCGGGCAGGTATTGAGGCCCGAAAATTCTAAGGTCTCTTAAAGAGATTATAATTTTAAATAATATATGTTTCCTCCAGGAAGAGAAATACATCAAAACACCTTTAAACTCCTTCAATGTCCAAATTATTTCCTGTACAATGACAAACGCAATGCCTACAAAATCCGCAGAAGTAAATTACAAAAAATACAAAAGTCTACAAATAATATTAATAATAATCCCAACAACAGTATTTTCTTTCGATTAAACTGAAGAAACCAAAGAGAGCATAAGGCTGTCCTGAGAAACACGTCTATATTAACATTTTTCATCATCTTCACTTTACTTTGGTTTATATTTTGCGATTTATTTATAAATAAAAGTTAAAAGGCTGGATCCAATACACAGTTCATTATCAATATATTTATAATGGATAGATGGTATAGGCTGAAACCATGCGATATATTGTTGCAATAAATGTAAATATATGCAGATTATTTTGTCATTAGTGTTTGGTTAATACAAATATCAGTGTGAAATCATTTACTTAATAAAATCTGGTATTGCGCATAGATATACACCATATCCATTTTTCTTTCTCATATAAGCAGAATGTGGGTATAAGGATTGCAAAAATTGTAACATTTTATTAAGCGCTCACAATAGGAACATAAAGTATTAGTTTTTTTTTTATTTCTTAAAACATTGACGATGTAAGCTTTAATCGAATTGATATTTTTAGATATGAAATTAAGTATGTTACAAGATGAATGGGCAAGAAAGAAACAAATTCACCTTCCAAGGAATTCTATTTCGATTACTGAAAACGAATAAAATAGGAATAAAATGCAAACTCGTGTATGGTTAGGGTTCATATATTTTGAGCATCTGTTTAATATTAATTTTATTTTTCCAGGCAGACAATTGTGTTCATTTAAAAAATAAAAGTTCAAATTGCTTCAGTTTTATAAGCAATTCACTATTGTAACATCGCTGACTGATGCAAGTAACCAACTCAATAACAACTGTAATCATATTTTTTTTATTTTAATCGCCCCAAGCACGATGATAAAGTCACTAAGACGCAAAGGCTTACTAAGTGTGAGAGAATATGAGAAAAGGAAAATCATTTTTAAGGAGAAAAAACAATTAAAATGACAAATATTAAAAATAAGATAACGATTGAGATTGCATTTAAATTCAGATCAAAGTGGACTGGAAAGCAAGCAATCAAAAAAGAGTACTACAAGTGATAAGTGCGAGAGGAGAAACTGTTAGCATAGAACTTACGGTTATATCTAACCATTTCAATTCTAATATGCTTAGACTCTGCCGCCGATCTAGCAGC